AATTTTGGTGTACTAATTTGTAGACTGTGACTTTATTTTCTTTTTTCTTTCAGTTTTTACTTTGGTACTGACTAATCTAATGTATATGCACAACTATATTATTGATGCATTGTTTAAAATATTATCCTACTGAAAAATGACTATGTAGTAGTAGGGCTGTGCGATTAATCGAAATCGAATCGCAATCATGATTTGAAACATAACATTAACATCCCCCACCCAGAGCAAAAGTGTGACTGCGGTCTGTGTGTGAAAGTCTTATTGAGTGAGCACACTTTCATCTGCCCAATCAGAATTGCACAACCAAACTATTCGGAACATCCAAAAAACAAACAAATAGGAAAGCACGAACTAGTGGTATGATGGCATTTGCCACTTCAGATTAATAGAAAAATTAATATAAAAGAAAAACAGGATATCGGTAATATGGGAATATCTTGGTTTCAAAGTCACAGGCACCAAACTAAACCAGTTCTTAAACTAATTTGTAAGAACTGTCGCAGAATTGTTGCCAAAGCACGAGGACACACCACAACCAGCACCTAAAAAAGCACCACAGGTGGCTATATGAGGAGTGTCTTGCTAAAAAGTCAACTAAAAGTATTGCCAGTGACACTCAATCTATTAGCAAGCAAAGTACAATTTCAGAGTTGTTTGCTAATATAAGTTGATAACTAACACTCGCTACATTTAAGCAGTAAAAAGCTATGATACAAATTTTTGAGCTGAAGCTTGACTACAAATTAAATCGCAAATTAAATCAAAATCGCAATATCTGACAAAAAAAATCACAATTAGATATTTTCCCCAAATCGCACAGCCCTAATTAGTACTCTAATGCTGAGTACTGTTTTAGTTTTATATCCGATATTTTAATGTTTCCTTTTTTTTCTCTTGTTGAATTTTACCACACTCTCTTATTTTAGTATATTTTTACTATTTTATTTGAAAATCGTACAGTACTATCAATTGTGTTTTACAGTAACACTTTACTGCTCCTTTAACAGACATTTACTGACTATTAGAAATTTTGAAAGTGCATATCAACCTACACTAACCCTAACCCCAAGCTAACAGTCTACTTGTAATCTAATAATAATCAGTTGACATGTAGATGCAATGCAACTTAAATTTAACAAACGGACCATCAAAATAAAGCATGATCGAAAATACTGTCAGAAATATCCAAACTATGACAAACAGCACTTGTAAAATAGTTAAAAAATAAAAATAATAATTACAATTTTACTGGATGGCTAATAGTTTGGCTTCAACCGTAAATGACTGTGAGAACAGGAAGTGACTAGGCAGGCCCACTGACTTCAACCTTATTATAGATGCAATAGAAGAGGAGGCAGATATAATCAGTCTGGTCTGTGTGAATGTCACTTGTTCTGAAGTATAAGGGATTGACGCTTCTGTGCTGTACCACAGGAAGTGTGTGTGTGTTTGTGAGTGTGTGTGTGAGAGAGAGGAAGAGAGAGAGAGATATATAAGATCAGTGTCCACTTTTTTCAGCCCTGTGTTTGAGATGAACGGCTGAAATGCTTTAACATTTATATAACATCAGACATTATATTTAGTCTGCAGATTTTGTGTTTAAAGTTCATACATATTTATGCTGCCAGATGTATACACTGTTGTCTTGGGCTGCTATTAGCTCAATGAATTACCAACAGCTCATGAGGTGTTTATTAAAAATGCAGGAGAGATGAACATTTAGATGATCTCAGCGGTGGATATAATAAATGAAGGACTGGTAATAACCATTTCTGCTTTGACTGATGATCACAGAAGTGAAGGCAGATCAGCTTTAATGCATTCCTGCATGTATAATTTCCTTTTTTTCGAATGATTAAATGTAGTTACAAATCTTAATGATGTAAAGTTTTTTGTTTTATTGCAAACTGGGATATCAAGAGTTTTGTTGTGGTGCATAAAATGAATATTTATTTAAATGCTGTTTTAGTTGCATAGAAAACATAACAAATGCAACTCTTTTAAATAGTTTGTTAAAGGGGTGGTCCAGCGTGCAATTTTAAGGCTTGGTTGGGTTTATAAGATGCAAAGCAAATCACATTATTTTTTCATATATCTTACTTTGATTATATACTGCTATTCTGCATTTTAGCTTTCTCTGCGAACATTACAGCGCCTCTGGCCACACCCCCTTGCTGCAAGGTGTGTATTTGTGTATGTTTCTGCAGCTTTTGTGATCTCACTAGCCCGATTGTATCTTTTTACAGTCCTCAAACTTCGTTCTCTGTAAGCTTTGGTAAGCTAAATCTGTAAAAGCCAATGTCTCCCTTTGCATTGAACTTTGAGTGTATTATATTCAGAGATGTTGTTTATGTTCACACAGCTACATTACACATCAACTAAAGTTTAAAATAGGATATCGTAGTGGACCAGCCCTTTAAAATAAAAGGGTGGCATAGTGGGTAGCACTGTCTCCTCACAGCAAGGTCGCTGTTTTGAGCCCTGGCTGGGTCAGTTGGCATTTCTGTGTTGAGAGTTTGCATGTTCCTCTGGGTGCTCCAGTTACCCCCACAATTACAAAGACATGTGCTCTAGGTGAATTGGGTAAGTTAAGTTGTTCATAGTGTATGCGTCTATGTCCTGGTCCTCCAGGTTTGCGTGTTGATTGTTGGGATAACGACCCGCCTCAAAAAAATTAGATGTTATGAAACACCAACATGGTATGACTAAAAATATAAATTTCGATATAAACTGTCCTGTAAGTAAGACTAAGTTGTTAAAATAAAATGGCAAAATTGGGGTTAAATAATGCTGTACTATCATTCAGTGCAACATATATTTGTCTACTTATCAGCAACAAGAGACATTTTTTAAAAATATTTGCAACCTAAAATGCGGTTTAAGTTTTATGATCATGTAATGAATTTTTTTTTTTTTTTTACTTATGGCATCATTTGTTATGTTTTTTCCTGTGAAACTAGAAAATTTTGGGATGTTTTTTATTTTTATTTTTTTTGGGATCCCAACAATCATCAGACTCGCAAAATTCTACAGGGTCTTATTCTGAACCATACTTATGAAAATACAAAATTAATAAATTATGCTGCATTTTGTTATATTTTTCTTAGTTTAATAAAAATAATTGGCGACAAATAGAAAAACTTAATGTTTTGAAGGATTGAAACATTTCAGATATATTTATGTCTACTTGCCTATCAGCAGCAAGACTTTTTAAAAAAATATTTGCAACCTAAAATGGCTGATTTTGTTATGGCTTTTTTTTTCTAGTGAAACTACTAAATCTTATAAGTAAATTGTTTTTTTCAGATCTCATCTCAGCAACCATAAGACTCGCAAAATTCTAGACGGTCTGGCGTATTCTGAACCGTACTTATTAAAAAACAAAATGATTATACTACATTTTGTTTTTCTTTTTTGTTAAATAAGTTTTATTTGGTTTTTGAAAAGACTTACAATAATCACTAATTACAGGATAGATTTTCTGATATGCATAAACTTACAAAAACAAGACAGTCTGTGAGTTTACAATACAGTTATACTCAAAACAACTTTTTAGTTACAATACATTGCTTTGGGGAAAAGAATTCCCCATGAAGTGACAGAAGGGCCCCAAATCTTCAGAAATTGTCCAATGTTGCCTTTTTAAAAGATATCTGGTTTGTTTTAAGTGCAGAGTAGATATCAATTCTTCAAGCCATAGTTTAGCAGTTAGAGGATTAACATTTTACGTTACAGTAATAGCAGCTTTTTGGCTGTTATCAAACAATATTTAAGGAATTTTCGTTGTGCACTGCTCAATGAATATTTATGATCAGAATGTCCTAATATAAGCACTGGCTCAGGATCTATGTGTGAATCAAGGACGTCTGAAAGCACTTTAAAAACCTCATTCCAGAATCCCTGTATTTTCTGACAGAATACAAAACTAAGCTAAATCAGCCTTTTCTGATTTGCACTAATCATAAATTGGAGATATATTGGGGAAAATCATATGTAATTTCTGTTTGGAGAAATGTAGTCTATGTAGAATCTTGAACTGGATGAGGCATGATCTAGTGTTATCAATATCCTCTAAGCTATTCTGTGTTATCTTTTTCTTAAAGTTTTTAATTTAAAAAATGCTGACAAATAGGAAAACCTAATGTTTTGAAGGATTGAAACTGACTGCATCAATCAAATTTTTATTCATATACTGGACTGCACTCAAAAAATAACATTTGCTGCTTGTTTTAACTACTTTTTAAAATGAGCTGAAACAACAAATTTCTTTTTGCGGGAAAATTTAATTGGTTTATGTTCAACCCACGACAATTTGTAAAAATGTAAACTTAAGAGTCAACTTAATTGATTTATGTTTGGACAACATAGAGTTTTGTCCAAACCCTGGATTTTTTACAGTGTGACATCTACATGACATACTGATTGTTGTGAATTTATTGTGCTCCTACATTTTCATGAACATTATCTCCAATTGAATGTTATTACTAGTTACTCTAAATATGCACAATTGCCTTTTTTTTATTGCCAATCATCTCGAGACTAAATCAGATGAAACTGAACATCAGATATCCTGAGTGAAAGATGCTTTAAGTATTTTAATAAGGTATTTCCTCAGCACTGCCCTCTGTTGGTCACATAAGGTGTCACAACAAAATTATGATGAATCTGCTAGACACTTTACTTTGTTTTATTTTATTATTTAGATAGGGCATACAAAATCTCTCAGACAGAAAGATACAGTTCTTGCATATATGTCTGGCATTTTCATCCCTTTCAACAGTAACTATATACAGTAAATCATAGGCAGCTATACATAATTTAAAGAATAAAAGCATTAAAAATGTTACAAGTCAAGAAAAATCAGGGGATACTGGTTTAATATAATATATCAAGGCTAAATAGTTTTCAGGAACAAATTATGCATTAAAAAAATCTTTTAAATCTCCTTCCATGATTTTTCTGCTTTTAAAGTTTTGTTTCTTATGTGTGTTTTTGTGCAGGTATGATTCAGAGAAGGATAACTACATCGACTTGATGGAGCTGAAGCTGATGATGGAGAAACTGGGAGCTCCTCAGACTCACCTGGGCCTGAAGAACATGATCAAAGAGGTGGATGAAGACCTGGACGGCAAACTCAGTTTCAGAGAAGTAAATAAATCCTTTATTATGAATCTGAAACTATTTAACTGCATACGAGAACATGAGGATTGTTTATAATTGTTTTATATTTTATATACTTTTTGAGTGTTTTAAGAGCTACCTGTCCAGGGACTGCAGGTTGAAAATAGCATTTTTTCTAAAACATATTTCTTTTTTAAGGCATGTCCTTGTAAAATAAACAAATTCAAATGAAGAGCTGCAAATCTACAGTGAATATTGCCTGCATTTATCCGCTTCATCGTTTGCTCTTTCTGCAGTTTCTCCTTATCTTCAGAAAGGCAGCAGCAGGAGAGCTGGCAGAGGACAGCGGCCTTCATGTCCTGGCACGTTTGTCAGAGATAGACGTGTCGACTGAGGGAGTGAAAGGAGCCAAATCATTCTTTGAGGCTAAGGTAAAAATCTTATATTTTTTTCACCCCTTGGTGAAATATCTCCATAGTTTTAGTCATTACCTGATTATTTTAATATCCTTCTTAGGGTATCCCAGCTCTGTGTTTTAATAATGTCCAATCAAACACCAATTTACACATTTCTCAATTGTCTTTGTATTGACACCTACAAGATATCACAAATATGTCACCGTTTATGTATTTTTTTATATATATTTTTAGGTCAGACAGAAAATAATAACACTATATATATATATATATATATATATATATATATATATATATATATATATATATATATATATATATATACCATACAACCACATAGTAGTAAAAAAACACAAAGAAAACACAATTATACACTAAACAGGTATATAAATAATGAGCTAAATTATAGTTTTTTTTTAAATATTCTGAAATGTGCTGCTACTTATATTTCAATGGGTCTTTCATAACAATATGAACTTCAAACAAGCAAAACGAGCCCAAAGTGTGTACACTGTATGCATGTTTTGATTGACATTCATACCATTATTACAAATTGGCTTTGCGCCAAATAAGATAAACATGAGTATTTGAGTATATTTGAGTATTTGATTTGAATCAGCTCCTTACTGTTGAGAGTCTTTTCTTTTTTTGATTCTTTGCGCTCAGACTTCGCCGGTAGTAAATAAGCTAAAAGGAAGCTAATAATCCAGAGTATGAACACAACACTGCACGTAAGAGCTATTTTAAACCTATACATAACTAACATACCAGAGCAGAAATCTAACTATACTAGCTACCACCTATACATATGTAAATTTACTTGTGTAATTTAAGTATTTACAGTATAAGACAGAATTACATCATGCAAGAGAGGTATTTTAAGTTTCAGTAAAAAAAAAGTAGCGCAACATGATTGGTGGTACATTCACAAGTAAACAACAAATCCTTATGGAGTCCTTGTAGGATGGAGTTTAGGTAAAGTGTCCGGTGTATATGGAGGGAAGAATGTTTCCACAGGTGGTTTGTCAAGCACACTTATGCACCTTTCCACTGTACACGACATTCGGACACGACTTTCGGAATACACCCCCTTGTGGCAGTTGCACACAATTTTTAGTTTTGTCATGCATCATGGGAGAGAAGCTGATTCTCGTGGTGTCAGAAATAAAGGAGTGCAAAAAGAGTCTTTATTCTCCGTGCATTCACCATGGTTAAATATATGAATGAATGAATGAATACTAAAAACTCAGACCGCTAAATATTTTGGAGTGAATGTGAAGACAACATAAAACTAATATTTTTTTATTACTCATTTATGAATAGAAATTTTTTTTTGAATATAGATTTTTTTCTGATTAAAAACAAAATTAAAAAAAAACTACTCCTTCTCATCTCATGTGCACGGGCCTGCTTGGACAACACTGGAATACATCACATCCGGTTAGGTGGATCCGGTTTCAGCATACGGAGATGATCGGAACTCCACACATCTCCCAGACTACTGTCCGTTGGAAATGAATGACTTCCAGTCTATTTCTTGTCATTTGTTGTTTGCAGTGGAAAGGCGGCTTTACATGTAAACATTGTTTTCTTAATTGAGTCCTTGTAAGATGAAGTTTAAGTAAAGTGTCCGGTGCACATGGAGAGAAGAATATTTCTACAGGGGGTTTGTCAACCCCACTCACCAGTGTGTGAAGCATACTTCAGAAATGTACAATGTTTTGTCTAGAGATATATTGTTTGTTTGTTTTTTTGCAAAGTGAGTGATGTTCAATAATGTCTGTTCTCCTATTGTCATAGCAAACAGTTACGGTACTTTAGCTTGTTTAGCTTATGTCGATAGCTTTTCTAAAATTGTAGTTTTTCCTCTGACAGGTACAGGCTATTAACGAATCCAACCGGTTTGAGGCCGAAATCCGTCTGGAGCAGGAGGAGAAGAAGAAGCAGGCAGAGGAGAAGAAACAAAGACAAGCCGCATTCAAAGAGCTGAAGTCAGCCTTCAAATAACCGCATCCACCTCCTCCTTTTACTCATCTACGTCTGTCTGTCATCAGAGTCCCCGCAATCAGAGATACTATGCAAGGCTCAAAAATCCATGCAGATTCATCTTCCTGAGAGATCTGTTTTATCCTTGCCTCTTTCTCTCGCTCGCTCAGGCTGATTTCGAATGTGAAGCCAGACACTGATCTCAGTACACTGGATTGGATTAGTTTTCTTTCATTTGCATGTGTATGTATGTCTGTTTTCACCATCAGTATCGTCATTTTGCATCTTGTTCTCGTTAAAGTGACCAAATTTCATTAAATCTAATGCTTAAGTAGTTTTAAAATAGTTTTTCTTTTAAATCTTTTATTGTTCTCAGTATGCCGTTTCCAATCCCCTGTATTCATATCAGTGGTAATTGCACTAGCGCAAAACACAAGCAGGAAATACTTTCCGCTGTACCATGACTAATGAAACTTTCATTGCTGGCCATTTTAACTCGAGAGGGCAAACATCAGATCTCTCATTCACGGATGAATTAGGAGCGTTAAGTGGTCAGTATTTTTTCTGAGTCGATAGACGGAGAGCTGGTTTGGGGGTGTATGTGCATGTGTGGTGATGGTTGTAATGGTGTTTGTTTAATTTGCATGGTCACTGTGGTGTCGTTTTCGCTATAGGGTACACTTTAGGTGTCCAGTGTTAAATGTGGCACACGCTAACCTAAAACTGGTATACAAATCGCAACGAGACATAGCTTTAAATTTAAAATAGCTTACAAAATGTAAGAAATTGCAACATAATATTTTGAGTTTGCGTAATTTTTGTTGATGGAGGCGTTTCGTTAGGGCAAAGTCTAACCTGAATCCCTGTACTTTGTGCTTCCATGTGTGCTGATCAAGTTACTGTGATATGAGGTTGATCAGATGCATCAAGTGGAGTGAAATCAGATTTGAAGACCGTTTATTCACCTTCATGTCATTCCAAGCCTATCTGCCTTTTTTTTTTTTTTTTTTTTTTTGTGCAAACCACATGGTTTTTTTTATGTTGGCAATCTAAATGTTTTTTTTTTTGTTTTTTTTGTTCCAGACTTTTGTTTTTGTATGTGTATTAAAGTTAATGGAGAATAATTTTTCCTTTTTTTTAATATATATATATATATATATATTAAAAATATACAATATATATATTGTATCCCACATAAGAATTATGCAGGTTTGAATGACATGAGGGTGAATGTTTTTTGTTTTTATATTGTTTATTTTTGAGGGGTGAACTATATCTTTAAATATTAATATCTTTAAATATTGTCTTCAACGCTTTATGAAAATCGCATGACTGCCCAGCAAACAATTTTATGTTTTTAAATGTCTAATAGACATCTAAACAAAGACAGCTTGGCTAAAACAAGGCAAAACTTGCGCTGTCAGCAAAAATATAATAGATATCTAAGAATAGCCCAAAACTAGACTAGTTGTCAAATAGACCGATTAGATCAGGAGTGTCCAAACTCGGTCCTGGATGGCCGGTGCAGATCCTGCAGATTTTAGCTCCAACTTGCCTCAACACACCTGCATGAATGTTTCTAGAAAGCCTATTAAGAGCTCGATTAGCTAGACTAGGTGTCTCTGATGGGGTTGGACTTAAACTTTGCAGGACATCGGGCCTCCAGGACTGAGTTTGGGCACCCCTGGATTAGATAGACTGTGTAAGTGTAATCATTCATTTCTGTTTATTTGAGGGCTAGTTTTGGCCTATTCTTAGACATCTATTAAAGTTCAAGTTCACTGACAGACCAAATTTAGCATTGTTTTAGCCAACATGGCCATGTTTAGACATCTATTAGACATCTTTTAAAATAAAAAAATGCTTGCTGGGTGTTTTGACAAGTCAATGCATGTTTTCCCAGACCAAAATGACAAACATAGTCAATTTTTTCTCGACTAAATATTTAATGTGACAAATCATCCTGTGACCGTTTACAGTGAATCGTAATAAATTGAAAGTTTTATGGTCATGTGACATGCAGTACACTGTGGCAAACGTAACTGAGATCCTATGTATAAAGACAAATCTATATATTTTCATGTGATGAAAATGAAAAATAATTTTAGTTTTGTATGGAAAGGGTGTCTTGTGAAAAGAAACATTCTTATTTTCTCAATATAAATTTCGCCGCCTACAGTTTTGTCTCCCTTCTGTTCTCCATCAGCTAAAATCTTGAAAATATAATTCCTTTAAATCGGAGACAATATTGTTGGCATTTGCTATGCTTAATGTTGTTCCTTGTCTCTGTGTTCTGAGTCACTGGTAAATGTTCTTGTTTGCTGACTTGTTCTGTGGAAAGTCAAACAAAAGGTGTATAAATATTTCGATCTTCCAGTCTTCACAGCCATCCACGTTTTCTTTTACAGTTATCTGCTGTTTAAACTCAAAGTATTTTGAATTTAAAGGGTAAATATAGTAGTGTGTTTGTTAATATTTGGTCAACCAAGAGTCGGATTTCGACACCAATCAATTATTGCATTTCTTTAGAAGCCATAAATAGTTCTGTCATTTCTTTTGAGATATCTTTTTTTAGCTGATCTGTTCTTATTGTGCCAAATGATTTCACACTTCTGTTCTGTGTCAGGCTTATTTTAGTAGGACATTCCACTGATATTAGTTGAGTTTAGACTAAACATCATTGATCTAAAATGTTTTGCATTTGTTTTTGAATGTAAAATGTTTTTAAAATGTAATAAAATTGTTGAAATTTAAGTTGTTCATTAATTAAAACCCTTTTTGCAGTTTTGGTTTTAGAATATTAATATTTGCACAAATGCATAACTACAGCTGAGCTTTGGCAGTATTGACTTTAATGGATTTCTGTGAAAATCTGCACCTTGTAAAGCAGATTACACAAACAGCACAATGTTGTTTTTGGTATTTGATCATTTTTCTGTGAAATGTAATGCTAGGAGGATGAGGAATGAGTGTTGTAGTCTTAACGATTTCATCTGATGGCATGTTTTTTTTATCTTTTTGTTCGTCATTCCAGCGACTTGACAATGGTTGAGAAGGCATTGAACCATCCTGACCATATCTGTACCTTACTGTCAGCGTCTGTGTCAGTCGAATCTGGTGGTTATGGTATCATACTCTCGTAGGCTTATACATATTGATATGTGGCTTCTATATGCACATTTATTTTTGATTTTGTTACTAAAGTGTATGATTCTTGTGACAATAAAACAAAATGCTTTTAATTTGGAAACATTTTATGTTGGTCATTGATGTGACTACTGTTATGTGTGCCACCCATATATCTAAATCGAAGATGTAGATTTAGAAACCTTATTGTGATTTATAAAAATAAATGATCAAATGCAGGCAAATAATAAAGCAATAAAAGTTGTATTAAAAATTGTAAATATATTAATAACAAAATAATCTTAAGTTTCAAATTATTAAAAATATTTTTGTAGTTTTATGTTCAACTCGTGACACTGTGTTAGGGTGTGTTTTGGCTTGAAAGAGTTTAAAAATACGAGAACAAACCTTTGTGTTTTCACACACCCAAACATTTTTTTTTTCTTTTGTTAAATTATCTATTAATTAATATTAGTGTCCAAAAAAAGCATTTAGGAAATTAATAACATTTTCCCCTCCAAGATCTAACACACTTAAGTTTGTTCTAGAAACCTTTCAGAATAATATTTATTATTTTGGACTGGATTTAAGCAGGCATTCTAAGGAATTTATTTAAATTTCATTAATTCCAAAAGAGCTCTGGTTTCCCACACAGTCCAAACACATGCAGTTAAGGTGAATTGAATAAACTTAATTGGTCGTAGTGTATGTGTGTGATTGAGGGTATATTGATGTTTCCCACTACTGGAATGCAGCTGGAAGGGCATGCGCTGTGTAAAACATAGGCTGGATAAGTTGGCGGTTCATTTTGCTGTGGCGACCCCTGATGAATAAAGGGACTAAGCTGAAAGAAAATGAATGAATAATGCCATAAGATTTAATAGCCATTTTTAGAAATAATAAACTCTAAATGACAGGCTATAAGATGATATATTCAAATTTTAATTAAAGTATTATAATAATACTTACAATATTATTATAATATATATAATATATTTAATACTAATACTCAGAGTGCAAATTACTCTGTCAAATTTAGCCTTTTTTTTTAAATGACATCTAAAGACATTTAAATATTCTCTTATTATTTTAGAGGTTACTGTAACTCAAACTATACAAACACCTATTTTACAAGAGAACTGTCTCGAACACTACAGTATCCACGCTGTTGAATGAGTCTTGCAAAGACTGATTGGCGCGATTATGCCTTTAACCATAGGGGTGGTCAAATTTATATTTGTATAATCTATTTTATTTTAATTATTAATATTATTTAAGATAACATGAGTAACATGACAGCATGTAAGATTGATACGCTAATAACAAGATTATTTTGTGGTTTAAGTGTATTAGTTGCAGTCACAGAGACCTTAAAGTGTAATTTGAACACTATAACTATATTTAAGTTTTCTGACATTCCTTTGTGTGAAATAACCCACTTCACCGCCATCACTAGATGGAGCTGTTGCAAAATGTCCTCGGTCTAGGTCTACACACGCAATATGTTTCTTCTTTCTCCTTTTGGATGAACTGCAAATTATATATTGAATGCCAAATACGTATGACAAAGTTTGCGCTTTAAATTCAATACTACAAATAATAAATGTGAGCTAAAAGGGATTTATCCGGAACCATTGACGATTTCCAACACCAAGCGGGATTTCATAGTGGTTGCACACGGAAGTGTTGATCACCTGACGCAGTTGCAGCGTAAATATTTTTATCATCAGAGCGAGCGACCGATACTTCGCCGTTTAAACGGCATAAATGAGCGCTCGACTCAACCCAACATTAGTTTAAACTGTGTGTGTTTTTCTAGTATAGCTTAGCGTTTGCAATACATAAACTAAGCCGGGAAAATGAACGTGGATCTCACGCAGACCGGAGCAGCAGCGGCGGCGTCCAGCAGCAGCAACTGCGTCCCGAACAGCAGCACCACAAACGCCAGCAGCATCCCTGCGCTCGCCAGCAGCAATGGTGTGTGTCTCTGTGTGTCTTTTCCACAACACTCATTTTTTACTGGGCGATGTGACTTGAAAATAATAACAGTTTATCGCTTTTTTTATATTAGTTGTTATCGCCAATTATCACAAAAAAGTCACAACTTTATTTATTTCACGTTTTAATGCAGATTTTTGCTCCTGAATAATAGTTGTACGAAGCAAACAGATAACTAATCGTTTAAACTTCTCGTATATTGTAAAACTTGTCAAACGCATGTCAAAGAGATGAACATTTCACAGATCTGAGGTAACGTTACAGCAAAAACCAACGTTTTTGGGACACCCCTCCATTGAATTCAGGTGTATTATAATCAAGCACCTAGGCATGCAGACAAACATTTGACAGAATGGGTTGATCACAGAAATCCAAGTGATTTTAAACGCAATGTGCAATGTGGCCTACATGACATTTCCTCACTACAGCTAAATATTACATGGTCAACTTCAAGTCTTCTTTCTTGGGGTGCTCTTGCTTTTCTTTTTTACTGCAATTAGTACAACAGTGAATTTTCAAGGGCAATAGCATAAAACGGGTATAGTAGTATAGACAACAACTGAAAAACAAGCCAATCACATTTTCAAATCAAGGTGCAAATAGTGACAATTTATTTTAAAAAATCGATTTAAGAAAGTAAAATTTGTTTCTTTTAAGGTATAAAGGTAGTGAGACAACTGTGGGGGGTAGAAGAGGCACATCATGCACATATATCCTGGCAGTGCTTAAGAATGAACAGTTTTTGAGAAACTACTCTCGGCCATTAATTATATTTTTGATCTTCATATTTCTAGATCATTCAAAGTACTTTATCTAGGGGACATAACTATTAAACTTGAAAAGGAGGCTGGATATCTATTTAAAATATTATTGGCAAAAAGTAAGAAAAGCTATAACCTGGAAATGGTATGAAGAAGATCCGCTCAAAATAATAACAGAAATGGAAAAAATGATTACAAATAGAAAAAGAGATGGCTGGCTTTCTCTACAACGGCAATACAATTATCCATAATTTAACGTTTACGTAATTCTAGAGGTTATGCATCATTGCGAGAATGTTTGTCAACCTTTTATTATATTTGTTTTGTACTTTTTTATTCATTTATTTTCTTGATGAGGTTAATTTACTGTTTTTTATATATGTATGCATATAGATATACTTGTGTGGAATGGATGTATTTGTGTATATACACGTATATACTTGTTATGTATGTGTGTTTATATGTTTTATAGTTTGTTTTGTTCCCACTGGTTATATGTTTCTAAAAAAATACATAAAAACTAAGTATTAAAAAAAGATAGTAAGATGTGAGTGATAGTTTCTATTTTAAAATGAGTAAAATTAGTTTACTTACACTTCCTATTTACACTTTACACTAAAATACTTTTCCATTATTAAACAGTAAATTCACAATATACCAAATTTTAATGTCAACATAAACTCCTGGGGCAGACTCTGTGCTTAAAGAAAATGAAGAGCGACCAATTCACAAAATTTGTGGTTTTAATGCATTTATTTACACAATTCATAAAGCCACTTTAAGCTGCATCATATTAAAAAAAACTATTAGTTGTTATATTGTAATCCTGTCACATATTACTGTTTTATTTGAAAATTATATCATGTAAAATATAGTTATCATGTGTTATTACCACGGCCAGACAGAATCTGCAGACATTTTTTGCTGTTTCTGCGCAGAAGTAAAAAATGTGTGAATTTATGCAAAAAGATTTTGGAAGCAACTTAACTAAATACTTAATATATGGAATTTTAACTTATTTAATTTTTTAATTAAATAATTAGATGCACTTATTTGGTAAACAAAGCAAGTCTACTAAAATCTACTAAAAGACGAAATATTACTTTACAAACTGTATTGTAAATAAATCATATGAACATTTTCATATGGTCAATAATATTACTGAAATAAATGTAATAATAATAATAATAATAATATATATATATATATATATATATATATAATAAAATATATAAATTTGGCAAAAAAAAACCCTGTGGAAATCTGTGGATTTCTGCGCACACAGATTCCATGTGGGCCTAGTTACTACCCAGCCCTGATCAGAGAGCTTAGCATTTACCTACAAACATTTAATTATAAATTCAATTATTTACACTTAGTTGTCCAACTTTTGTCCAAAGCAACTGTCAAATGAGAAAGGGTATTGTGATTTATCACAAAGAGCCAATGCCCACTTTAATGCCTGTATTAACAGGAAGTTGTTGCAAACTTTTATTTCAGTGTGATGACCTATTTCCAACTGAATTGAAATATTGAGCAGTGGGCGGGTTTTATTTTTGTGCTCCTGTCATCTTTCACTTGTGGCAAACTTAACGGTTGAAGAGGTGTGGCTAAGCATCTTTTGCTCCAATCTGTCAAACTGACGTCATCAGAGAAGAACTGCCATAACAGAGCAGAAGCAGATGGTCAGATTTAGATTAAACTGTTCCTCTTAAGTGGATTAACTTGCACATATGAATCGTTCACTTTGAGACTAACAATCTGCGCTAGCAAAATAATCTATGGAAATTTTATTAAATGCAGACTTAAGTAGGGAGGGATTAAGGAAAGAATGAGAAGAAGAATTTTTTGTTAGGTTGTAGTTTAGTGCTCATGAAAGAGAAGTTTTAGCTGCCTTTTGATTGTTGCCTGTAATGTCAATTGTTGTTTTATTGCCTTAAATTGTCTGTTATACTTACTTTCCGCCCTCAAAGTGTCTACTTCGGCTTCCATGGCAACCCCATCCTCCGACTCCACTGTATCAAACGGCGTGTATGTGCCCACAGAGATCGCCAACGGAGACGTGAAGCCTGTGATCTCAACTACACCACTGGCAGATTTCCTCATGCAGCTGGAGGATTACACTCCTACAGTGAGCTCCCTTTTGTGATTTGTAGTTTATTCTTTGGTTATTAATGATATTTTATGAGTTGTACTGCTAACAAACTGTCTGTGCTTCAGATTCCAGACGCAGTTACAGGATACTATCTCAACAGAGCTGGATTTGAAGCATCAGATCCAAGGATGTGAGTTCGGAATAAGAAAGCTTTCTCTCAGAAAGCTGTTGGGTCAAATATGATAAAAGCACTTTAAATGTATGAAAGAT